AGAGAAGCGACCCTGTGTAATGTAAAAAAAAAAACATTCACTGTGTGCAGTTTGTTCAACATGTTAATTTAACTGTTCCATCTGATAAATATTTCCCTGTCTGTTATATCATGTTTATTCATTATCTTGAAATCTTGTTGCTTTAATATTCTGAAAAAACAAAACAAAATAAAGATCTCTAGCTCCTGAAGGCCCTTTATTTCTTTCTTTAAAAAAGAAAAAGTCTGAAGGTGAATTATGTATTGCTGTAATTGCTCTGCACTGCTGCTGGAATGCTGCTCGTACACATCAACCACGTCACTCATCTCCACCTCAGGCACACATCTAAACAGTAAAAAATGTAGTTATTGGAATGCTATTTATAGTCATGTATTGATTGTACGGTTGGCGTAATCCCTAAATAGATGTAGAATTATTGTTGCTGGCCTCATTTTTGCTGTAGTTGGGTGAAAATGTAGTTTCTCCAACTCGGGATGAAATTAGTTTTTAGCCAAGACTTGTGTCATTTTGTAAAACTTTCACACCATCTTTCATTTGAGGGTAAAGAATGAACACACTCACAGATGTTGTCTCAGGAAATCTGTATGCACTGCAGCAAGTTGAACTCCTGAACCACACACATATATTCAGAGTCAATAATACTGTAATACATACAGAAGATTATAATTAAATGGTATTTTCATGCATTTTAAAACCAACTCTTCATTTAAATGTTCCTACAAAACACTACATTATCGTGTCTTCATCATTATTCTCTCCCGTGTGTCTTTCACTTCCTGTTTCATTACTGTAGACAGTCAAAACAAGATGTGTCCAGATTAAAAATAGCAATTTTTCATTTCTTCTTCCCCTTTTTTTTTGTTCATAATAAATGACTGCACTTCTTCTACGTGTCTCTTTGTGTGTTGACTACCAGTTGTGTTGTTGTGACGTGTTTTTGTTTAGTTTGCAGTTGTGTAATAAAAGTGACTGTGCATGTGTCAGTGATCCGGCGCAGGGAGGGCGGAGGGGAGCAGCTGGGCAGGGTGAGGGAAGTTCATTGCTGTCAAAAGACTGTCAAGAATGCAGCCTGTACAGCTTTGCAGGACGAGCAAGACCGAATGTGAAAGTGTGTGTATGAAGAAGTGAGATAGAGAGAGAGAGAGAGAGAGAGAGGGTGTGTGTTTGTTATTACGCTGCTCCAGTTAGTGTGGGACCTTTTCTCTGACAGTAGCAGCATGGTAAGAACTCAGCTTTTTTTTTCTCCACTTTTCCTTCACTTGTTAAAGCTGTCACAAAGGAGCATTTAGTCTGGCACCAGTGAGAGATGACTTTACACTGGTGTGTTTGTGCGGTGGCCTACGCTGCAGTGGTGTTGTGCATCTGACGTATGGTTTGTACAGTAGATCACAGTCAGTGTGTGTGTAGGTGCCGTGTAACTTAATCATCACAGACTGACAGCGAAACAAACCGATAATGAATAAGGGGCTATTTTCAGTGTGTTTTTCAAAGGAAAAGACATGATTTGAGGAGAAGGGTGATAAATGGACTCCTGACAGGTACCTGTGTGACGGAGCGTACATGCTGTTCAGATGACAGATCACATACCTTTTAAGATCTGGATAATCTGCCACATTGTCATGGGTGTTACTCTTCAGGAAATACAAATATAAAAAAGCACATAAGCATAACATAAATTCTGTTTGAGAATGACTTTGAGTATTTAGGATACTTCTATAAAGGTTGTATTTTTGTTGGAATGCCTTTTAACAGGAGTTATCAACCACACTGCAGCTCTGTAGAGGCCAAATCAGCTGTACCTGCATTGGAAATGTCAGGTTGGTCATTGAGAATAGTGTCCAAAACTGCTTCAAATAAAGTGAAGTAAACTGAGAGAGGAGAAAATGGAAGTCAATTTCCAATGAAAGTTTACATGATTTTGCCTCCCTGTCTGTGTATACAACACTTATCTGTTCATTCTTTCTTGCTTCAGCGCCAGAGATTATCTGATGAGTTTACAAAATACTGCCAATTTTCAGCTGCATCTGTAGCCCTGCATGGCTCAATACTTTCTTCCTTTAAGTCACTACCTTTTTTGCAGTTTATATCCTCTGCTGTCACAACCACGCAGCCTGCGTGAGCTTTGAACTGGAGGGTCTGGTCACAAAAAGAAGTGAACAGTGTACATGTGATGTGATGAGAAGCTCGCAGCTTGAGGCAGCGAAGTGACCGGAGAGTGTTGGCGGAGGAGGAATGCTCCGACTTGACCAGTGAATGATGCGATTGTGTCCTTCCAGTTTGGCCGTTTTGAAAGAATGGGATGTCATTTGGCAAACAGAATACAGAATGTTTTCAGGAAGCAGATTAATTTCACTGGGTTTCTGATCTCTTTAAGCCCTGATTTGAATGGCAAATATTATCACATCACACATCAACAAAAGTAATTAGCTGGAATCTTGCTGAAGGCCTTTTCTGCACTTTGTTTTTTGTTGGGTTTTTTTTGTTTTTTTAAATCATTCACAGGCTATATTTGGGTTATATATAGTGGAACAATTGGGGGGAAAATTGCACAGCGGCTGTAAATAAAGAGATTAGGAGGATATGAGATAACTACACCGTGTCAGTGCTGAGGTGGAAACGAGGCAACAGACAGATCGATGCAATTATGGGCATCTCCATGGCAGGCAGTAGAGAGGTTAATCCCTCAGCCTCCATGTCCTGCTGCGGGTTCAATACCACAGTCAGACCTACTGCCGCTCTCATACACACACATATACACAAATACACACACCGTCAGGGCATTAATTTTATATGATGGAGGGACGGGAGGCAGGGGACTGCGTGGAGTTGACATTGTACTTTACAGCGCACGCCTCCATTCACTTTTTCAGTGTCTCTCATCACAGCTCTTGTCACTTTTTGTTCTTTTATTATCTATCTGCGATCGCTTTCTTGTTTATTACACTCTGACCATCTGTTTAAACCCCAATTAAATGCTTGGAGGTATTGAAATCCTGGGCTGGTCTTTATGAAGGAGCCTCTAGAGAGAAAGCCTCTCTCTGGCATGGTAACAGGAATACTGGGTTTCTTACATAAATAATGAGATACAGATGCCAGCTGCGATATGGCCACACTCATGTTTTATACAACAAACTTTTTTACTCGAATATCATCCTCGCCTGTGTCTCTCCATACATATTACTACCTGGCCCCTTACTGTGGGGAACACCAAGCGAGAGTCTAGTTGAACACCTTCTACCTTGGAGGTGTCTGTTCCATGCAGAACCAAGCTGTAGAGGCTGCTGAGTATTATCAGGAATAAAATGGACGTAGCTTCATTTCTGTTGCATTGAACTTAGTGAAGCTGCAGCAGAGAATTTTTAGCACAGATTTGATTACATCAGTGTTTACTGACACAGTTTTATAAGGCTGTTATTTACTCTCTAATTTGCAGTTTTGATTAGGTGGAAGTAAAATGTGAGTGTTTTGCTGGAGACCTGCTGACGAGGACAAGAGGATTTATTAAATTTCTGAATTCTCCCAAGTGTCTCTTATCCATACAGAGCAATGCTGCTCATTTTGGCATCACACTTGTGGAGCTGTTTCTGACTGAAATTGGACTGAAAATCCACATGAAAAGGGTTATTTAAATCTGTGGTATTTGCACGTTTGCCCCAAATATACTGTGGATATATTGTCACATAATTCTTAGTTTTAATTGAGAGTTGCTTGAGGATTGTATTTACATTTTCCTTCTTTATGGGATGTGAACAGATGAAGTTTACAAGGATTTAGAGTGAAAATCCAGGGAACACTTTTGAATGTTCAGAGACAAATGTATGAAACCAGGCTTATTGCTCCCGAAAGTTGCTTTGCAGTGAGTATTTTAGGTGTCTGTGATGAAAATACCATCTGCTCCTGCTGATGTGCATAGCAGGAAATTACAGTGAGGCTGATTCCCTGCCCGTGTCTACCTGTTGGCACTCTGCAGAGGCGCTCATGTAGCTAGTTTCCATTCCTTAAAAGGAGCCATTTGAGAAGCAGCTCTGAGTTAGACCGAATTTTCTATTTTTACAATATGTTTCCTATTCAAGACCATATGCCAATAACTATTAAAATGACTAATGATTAATTCAGGTGTCTGCTTTTGTGACTTCTACAGCATTTGCATGCATCACTCGTTGCAAATATATTGTGTTGTTTTAACTGTTTTCATAACAAGGCAAGTATTATGTAGACTGTCATTCACAACCTGTGGAGCCTCTTCAACACCCACCGTATTGGTGATAACAGTCAATACATTGTCATGGCAACTACGCTTCTCATCCTAACAACTGCCTCACCGCCCACAAAGGTCCCACAGCAACCGTCACCAAGCAACCCCCTCCCTCTTCTTGGTTTCTCTATTTAAGGAGCAGAGGAGGAGGAATAATAAATGATGCTGCACAGAAAAGAAAATATTTTCAACAGGACATGGAGTTGTACGCAACAACTTGTTGCTCCTCATCGATTTGCTCAAAATGGAAACAAGGCTCAGCTTGTTAATGCTGATTAAATCCCTTGAGAACAATGTAAAGGTGTAGATTTGCTGTTAACTGTTGTAATGTGTGCTTTCCTGTAGATGTCAGAATTGTGTCTTTAGCGTGACTCTGGTGTTATGCAACTTAATGGAGTTGTCCCCAGTGTTGTTGTTAGACTCAACAATAATTCAGCCAGGTCATGTGCTGCTTGAAGGCACAGGATGTCCTGTCTAAAGACCCTGCATTGTGTTTTCCCCCTACAAAGACTCAGAGTCTTGATATAAGAACTGACTGCAGTGTTTGCATTTCAGCAGTATCGCTTACAAGATCAGAACTGCAGCAAATTAAAATACTTCCCTTGTTCCCTAAGAAGGCTTTTCCTTCTTGTCTTGTTTTTCTACCAACAAAACACTAACACAGGAAATCTCTGCGCTCCAATGGAACAGTGACAGCTCAAGGAGGGAGGGAGGAGGACACTGGATCACCCACTCAAAGCCAAAAGTCCACAAGGCGCCATTTGTGTCCTTTTCTGTTTGTCATCTGAATTAAATGTGTGACACAGAGCTTAAACTGTGCATAAGGTAGAAACTACATGAGCAAAATTTCATGTGCTGATTGTAATGCTCCCACACATCCCTGACCCCGGCGACACTCGCTGCCATGTTGTGGGACAGGACACAGATGAGAGAAGGAGGTGCGGCTAACACAAGGAGGAAATGTAGGCAGGAACATGTGACTGTACTTGTTCTCCCAAACACACTCGGACTGCCTAAGAGGACACTGGAGGATTTCTGGACTTACCTGATTCCTGATAAGTTTTGCGATTATTGCTGCACAAATAGGATGCCTTTGGTCACAAATCTCAGCTGCTTGTAATAATTCATGTGTGGACTCAGTAAAAGTGAAGCTGGGAGGACATGTAAATTGCATGCATTTTTTTCAGTATATTTCATAGTGAGCTGCCGGTGACTGTTTTACACCTGCAGCTACCTCAACAACCTGGTCTTTCCTGTCAGTATGGTGTTGCTGGTATGTGGCAGTGGAGGAGTGTGTTTTGGTGGTTAATGACTAGACAAAATGTTTCACCACCGTTGCATTTGTCAGGCAAGGAGAGCACAACAGTGGATAAACACTAGAAGGCTTGGGAAAACTTGGTAGTATATTAACCAATCCTCTGGACTCTTTAAAGGAAGGAGAAAGAGCACAGAAATGTTCACGTCTCTGTCGGATTTCCCATTTATGATGTAGACAGGGCTTGTTGCCAAGTCTCAGCACTGGTACGGCCTGAAACAATAAGAAATTACCAGTGATAAAAGTTCACCATGAGTTCCAGGAAGAGATGGTTAGTTCCACACCGCTCTAAACTCTACATGTAAGTCCTTTTTAGTAAGTTCTTATGTACTATTCTGCATAATTTCCTGAACTTAATCATTCATTCAGTTTCTTTTTTGCACTTAGCACACTTCAAAGTGTTTTGGTGTAATTTCTAGTCAAGCTGCTTATGACTCACTGTAATAGTTTCTGCTCCTTTTCTTCTCTAGTGTGGAAGGGGAATCCCAGTGTCCAGAGACGGGCGCCCACAAAGACAGCTCTTTCAGCCAGACGCCTTACCTTCGCAGCGCCGAACGCTACAGTGACAGCAGCAGCGCTCCCTCTGGTCCCAGGGGCCCTACGTGCGTGGCTGCCAGTTCAACCAGCTTGGCCTGGGCACTGCGAACACGCCACCAACCTGCGAGTCTGGCCCTTCGTAAGCAAGAGGAGGAGGAGAACAAGAGATGCAAGGCCCTTTCAGACAGTTATGAACTCTCAACAGATCTGCAGGACAAGAAGGTATCAATGTTGAGGGTGACGTGAGTCAGAGGATTTGGGTTGCAAATGTTTGTGTTCTTTGTGGAGTTTCCTATAAGTTATTAGGACTAGCAAACATTGGGTGCGTTATCATACTGTATAGTTTGCCAGAAAAAGATGAAGTATTTCTCAATACATAGTATGTCAAATGTAGTATGCCAGAAATACCAGGATGTCCTACTACATATGGTTAGGTTTAGCAGGATGCAAGCCAGCATGCTTTTCTGGCCATTGTGACCCACATTCCTCTGTGCAGTTATGTTACATATGTTGCAGTATCACAGACAAGTATAAACAAGCTTAGCTGCAGAGACACAGCTACAGACAGATGACGGCTTATTTTGCACTACAGGCACATTATGTGAGTACACTACAGGCACATTACTATGATAAAGTAGTGTGTACCTATTGTATGTATACTGCATGAAACAATACATAGTTTGTGAGGGCAGCTGTAGTACATAATAAGGAAGAAAGAAAAAGTACATGATTTGGAACGCTGCCATTGTGAAGATGATGGATTTATTTTAGTGGGGCGTCATGGGTGAAAACATTCAGATCATGAACCTGTGTTTCACCTTGTTTTCTTTTCTGCCAGGTGGAGATGTTGGAGAGAAAGTATGGAGGCTCCTTTGTAAGTCGCAGAGCAGCAAGGACCATTCAGACGGCCTTCAGACAGTATCGCATGAACAAGAACTTCGAGCGCCTCAGAAGCTCTGCTTCAGAGAGTCGCATGACACGTCGCATCATCCTGTCCAACATGAGACTTCAGTATTCTTTTGATGAGCGACAGCCTCAGCAGCAGGCCCAGACACAGACCAACTTCACCCACAGCGTGGCCATAGGGCCACCTCACTCACCTGACCCAGACCGCACAGGAGACTACACCCACCTAGAGGACTCCTTCTCCAAACAGGTAACACTGTTGTGATCTGTCTTTGTATAATAAAAAGGTGTCAAGTTTGTACTAAGGGACACAACTCTGGATAATTTAAGAACATCAAGTTTGTACAAAGATTGTACAAAGACAAAACTATGAAAAAAAAAAGGTCAAACTTAACCAAACCGGACTCAGCAAAGAAGCGGAAAAAGCAAACTGATCAGCCTAGCTAATCTTTTTCATTTCCGACCTTGAAAGTATGCTCCTGTAACATATTTACTGGTTAAGACATATTATTCATCTATTTGGGTTGTATAAAAACTGTGCTATAATTATAACTCCTCTGTGCTTCCTCTAGGTCAAGTCCTTGGCTGACTCCATAGATGATGCCCTCACCTGCCGCGCGGGTCGCGATGACTCCCAGGAGGGCAGCAGGGAAGGTGGAGGGATTAGTGAAGACTTTGGAGAGTGTGTGTGGAGCAGCAGCAGCAACCCCTCCTCCCAAAGAGGTTTGGGAGAAAGAGGCAGGGGTGCAGGAGGAGGACTCAGTATGCACGGTGACAGTACGGCCACCTCGTACAGTGATGTCACCCTTTACATGGATGATGGTATGCCGTCCTCCCCGTTGTCCCTTGACCGGGCACCCAGCAGCACAGATACAGAGTACTGGGGCCCCGGTGGTGGTGTAGGAGGGCGTGAGGACAGCAGGGACACTGAGGGAGGGGGCAGCAGTAACAGTCGGCGCAGCACCCCATGTACGGAGTGCAGGGACTATCGTCTCAGGGGCGCACATCTGCCTCTCCTCACTATTGAGCCACCCAGTGACAGCTCAGTGGACATGAGCGACCGTTCAGACCGCGGCTCTCTGAGCAGGCAGCTGGTCTATGAGCAGGAGCCTGGTGTAGGAGCAGGCTCCCCTCAGGGAACCCTCAAACACTCCCCCAACACTGGCACCCGCACCTCCTCCACAGCAGCTGCCCAGGGTCAGACCCGGGCCCCTGGCAGGCCCATACCCACACATATCCCACACCAGGTGGCAGCTCACCACCACCATCACCACCATCCTATCCACCACCATCAGTACCCCGACACACCCTCATCCTCATCCTCCCCCCAGCAGCCTCCCACCACCCCTCTGTCCTCCTCCTCCTCCACAGCTCTGCCCCCTGGTGGTCTAGAGCAGCCGTGCTGCTCTGACGGAGACAACGACTCACTTAACTCCACTACTAACTCCAACGAGACAGTCAACTGCAGCTCAGGCTCCTCATCTCAGGACAGCCTGCGGGAACCTCTGCCTCCTCTGGGCAAGCAGACCTACCAGAGAGAGAGCCGCCATAGCTGGGACTCTCCACCCTTTAACAGTGATGTGGTGCAGAGACGTCAGTACCGTATTGGTCTCAATCTCTTCAACAAGTAAGATTTAATACCAATATGCACACCTAAGAAGTAACTGTTTTGATGGTAATCATACAATTAAATTTATAAAACTGGAATGATCAAGTTCTTCTTTCTTCAACTATAGGAAGCCAGAGAAAGGGATCCAGTACCTGATAGAGAGAGGTTTTGTATCAGACACTCCTGTCGGGATTGCTCGCTTCATCCTGGAGAGAAAGGGCCTCAGCAGGCAGATGATTGGAGAGTTTCTGGGAAACCGACAGAAACAATTCAACAAAGATGTTTTAGAGTGAGTATTTAGAAAGAAAGAATCGATTTTTGAGTTGAACAGCTATAAAAGATCAGGCTATATGAATTGAAAATATCAGAAAGATCCAGATTTATCTAAATACTGGTTGATGAAATAGTTACGAGACTGATAAATAGAAATCAATAGCCATACCTGATTTCTATGTTCCTGTCGAAGCAGTCTACTTGTGCAGCAACACACTGCTCCCAGGGCTGCTGCAACATTTGTAATGTTCCCTCAATGTCCAGGTATGTAAAAATATAAAGCGCCATCTGTGATAGGTGCTGAATCTCCTAAACTGTGTCAAAACAGCAACCCTTCAACTTGAATTTCATTTTGAGGTTAGAAGAAGAAGTTGCAGGAAGCCAATTCTGGTGTGAAGGACAGGTGGGGAGTGACAGTTGTCTTGATTGATCGTGGTCATCGCACCACAGTTCAGGTTGTCTGATCCAAATGTTCTTCCTCAAACACCTCAGGACGCTACAGCAGAACTCTGTCTTAACAGTTAGCAACTGGGGATTAAAGCAACCACAAGTGTAGAAGAAAAAAACGACCATGCTCCTGGCGCTCTCCTGACCTGATGCAGATTGTCTGGTTGTGGAAAATAAAGGTTCTTTTGCTGTGAAAACTGCCTTCACAAAGCCATCTACATGGAGAAATTGCAAATGCAGACCAATGGGCACAAAAATGTGTATAACACAGATCCTGCTGTCAACAGTGTGGTGTCACACGACATCCTGACTCATGACAGCTACTGCTCACACATGTTGCACGTGCATCACTGCGACACACTCTTTGCCACCACACAACGGCAGTCTCAGAACTGTTTGAGGAACCACATGTAATTTCTGATTAAAAAAGATTAAAGTTAATCCAAACACACATTAGCATATGTTCACACCATATTACAACTCACATGCATCATGCTCAGTCTAAGGGGACAAAACCTTTACACAAACTTTATCGCACATCCACACATACAAACATGATATGTAATAACAGGCAACATGACTCAAGATTTGCACAGATGGTTGAATGTTTCGAAATCTCCATAGTGTGAAATAGAATAACTTTAACTGTGACATCTTATCTGTGTGTTTCAGCTGTGTAGTGGATGAGATGGACTTCTCAGGTATGGACCTGGATGATGCTCTCAGGAAGTTCCAGGCTCAGATTAAAGTTCAAGGAGAAGCCCAGAAAGTGGAGAGGCTTATAGAAGCATTCAGGTTTGTATCTGACAGACTGAATTTCTGCTGCTTTGGCCACTGTATCAGAATTAAAATGTTTCAACGTGTTGTTTCTGTCTTTAGTCAGAGATACTGTGTGTGTAATCCGACCCTGGTTCGGCAGTTCCAGAACCCCGACACCATCTTCATCTTGGCCTTTGCCATAATCCTCCTCAACACCGATATGTACAGTCCCAACGTCAAAGCTGAGAGGAAGATGAAACTGGAGGATTTCATCAAGAATTTGAGAGGTGCTGCTGGACAGAAAAGACAAACATTCCCACTGCATGATGTTATTAAACACATTTTAGTTTCAGCATGTACTTACAGTTTGTAGTGGGACTTTTAATCATGGCTAGAATTTATTAGAATGCATTAGATTATTAGAAGTGTTGTGTGGGGGTTTTTTCAGATGCAAATAAATAATTTGAGATTTGCATGGTAGAATGGTGTTGACAGTGAACATTTTTTCCTAAAACCCTGCCTTTCTTTGGTTCCACCCCAGGTGTGGACAACGGTCAAGATATACCCAGGGACCTGCTGGTTGGCATCTACCAGCGAATACAGAAATGGGAGCTGCGGACCAATGATGACCATGTGTCCCAAGTGCAGGCAGTGGAGAGAGTCATTGTGGGCAAGAAGCCTGTGAGCTTTTGAAACTGAATGTGATGCTCTGTGTTAAGTTGTGACTTTTTGTTAAAGCTTTGTTCATTTATGTGTATTGTGTTTGTCTGTATAGGTGCTGTCCCTTCCCCATCGTAGACTGGTGTGTTGCTGCCAGCTCTATGAGGTGCCTGACCCCAACAGACCTCAGAGGACAGGAGTGCACCAACGAGAGGTCTTTCTCTTCAATGACCTGCTGGTGGTAAGACTCACATTCATCATTTTTCAAGATATGGCTCATAAGGAGTGTGTTTCATGTAAAGGGCCCCATAAACATGTACCGTTTATGTTGTGCACCAGGTGACCAAAATCTTCCAAAAGAAGAAAACCTCAGTGACTTATAGTTTCAGACAATCTTTCCCTTTGGTTGAGATGCAAGTGCACATGTTCCAGAACTCATGTAAGAAACAATTTTGCTTTTGTACCTTTCAATTGTTTTTGTTTATCCTCTACGATAATAAGAGTATTTATTTCTCCTTGTTTGCATCTAGACTATCCTCATGGCATCCGCCTGACCTCAGCAGTCCTGGGAGGGGAGAGGAAGGTTCTTATCGTCTTTATGGCACCCAGTCAGCAAGACCGCACCCGCTTTGTTAGCGACCTCAGGGAGAGTATTGCTGAAGTGCAGGAGATGGAGAAATATAGAGTTGAGTGTAAGTACACCATCTGCTGGCCATTCCTTTGAACTGTACTGTATGAAGCACAGGGGTCAGTGCACGTTATTCAGGCAGAATTGAAGAAATATGTTGCTACACCATCTCAGTTTTTTTGTTGTTGTACTTATGTGTTATTTGGGACCCAATACGAAGTCCTGTAAAATATTTGGGCTGAATTTTTAGAATTTCAGACATTTTCAGACCTGGGAATTTTTGTACTTTCCATCTGAACAAAAATATCTTACCTGGGAAGCCATTTTAAGGGTTCATTACTTCCAGAAGTATATCTTCCACAGCCATGACATTTGGTGAGGATTTTTTATTTGATTTTTTTACCAAATGTTTAAATGGTCAAATGTTTAATTATTGGCCCGGAAACTATTTTGTGTGTCCCCTCCAAAATCTCATGGGTGTGGAGTTATGTTTTTGGAGACAATAAAAACCCTTCATTGGCTTCCTAGGTAAGATGTTCTGTTGATGGTGAATACAAAAAGTCTGAAAACATATAAAATTGTCAAAATGTAACCAAAATATTTAACAGAATTTAGTTGGGTCCCAATCACAAATAAGTAAACTCAGGAGAGCAATATTGCTATTTGAAATGACACACATTGACCCATAGCCATGTATGGGTGACACGAGCCCTCTGTTAATGAGAAAATGAAGTGTTAATGAAGTGTTTGCCAGTACAGCCTCATCTTCTCCATGCCGCTTCTCCCTCTTATTTATTATTCCCCTGTGCCCTCTGTGTTAATTTACAGCGGAGTTGGAGAAACAGAAAGGTGTGATGCGACCCAGCTTGTTAACTGGAGGTGTGGTTGGAGGCATAGGTGTGAAGAGCGATGTTGTGAATGGGACCATAGGAAGGACAAGTTTTGATGACAACTGCTCAGTGGGTGAAGGTCTCAAACGCACAGCGCTCAGCTCATCTCTCAGGGACCTCTCGGACGCAGGTGAGACTGCGTCAACTCAGAGCCGGGGTCATTACTGTCAGAGGGGATGGACTGGGAAGCATGATTTCGGTCTCTGTTTCTATTGCTACATCCTGTTCTTCTTTCTTGCTGACATTCAGACACAGCTTATGCAGTGCTTGTCTTTCTTCTTTAAAAAAAACATTTGAAGAAACATTCCAATCTTTCACTCTTTGCTAACCTGATTCTTCCTGGTGGGTGGCAGGGAAACGTGGTCGCAGGAACAGTGTTGGTTCTCTGGACAGTACCATGGAAGTAAGTCTCTATGTAAGACTGGAGTTCAACCTATAACCTTCTATAAACCTGCATTTCCCCTCACTGGTGCTTTACCGCTCCGTGTGTGTACAGTGTGCATATATATTGTGTATGCGTGTACATGCATGTGGGTGTTTCCTACCTTTGCATGGCTGGATGCAGTCAAATTTGCCCAAGCATGACCTTCACCTCCAGATACAAACATTTCTTGTGTGTGATGATGGAAGCAGGATCAGGGTTTGTGCTGCGTAAATTTTCCTAAAGCCTGATGATGCTATATCTTCCCAGGGCTCCATCATTAGCAGCCCACAGCCTCACCAGCGCTATCCGATGCCAGGTGTGCTTCCTGGCTGCTATGGAACAGAAGACTTCCGGCCTCACCGCCCCATCCTGAGCCCCGGAACGGGGGTGGGGGGTGGGCCGGGGCAGCAACATACCACTGCTGGGACAGGAGTTGGGGGAGTCTCCAGCAGTGTAGAGAGAGCAGGAGCGGGCAGCGGCCCTGTGGGGAGCAGCAACAACAACAGCGGTTCCTTCCTGGGCTCCCTATTCGGCAGCAAACGCGCCAAACCACCAGGGCCCCTTATTCCACCGGGGCCACCATACCCCGCACCTGTACCCCCACCGACTACGGGAGGGCCCCCACCTCACTCCCCTTCATCTCTATGCCAGTTGGAGGGGGGTGCTTCCAAGATCCAGGCCCTCCACGCACAATACTGTCACGCGGGCACCGTCCAGCCCCCGCCACCTTACTACCATCACCATCGCTACCACGTCCAAACTGTCCCCCCTCCTTTGCAAGGTGTGCCCCCTCTTACTATGCAGAGAGGCCCACTACCCTGTCGACCTCCGCTTGGCCTGCCGCACGTCCCGCACCCGCAGCTGGCCCATCTCTCCCAGCTTTCCCAGCATGGGTTTCCGGGTCGCTTCGCCAACATGGTGGTGGGATGTCCCCCCCCCCTTTCTCCTCTCTCCCAACATTCCCAGAACCCGCAGTTCGCCCTGTACCACGCGCAGCCCACACACTCTGTCAGAGGGGGCGGCGGCCCTGGTACCAAGCTCCCACTCACCTTGTCACACTCCCACCCCCACCCCCACGCACACTCCCAAACCCACCCCGGACACGTGCACACGCCACACCCAGGCAGCCACACCACCCACCAAACACACTTCATATTCGGCACTCTGCCCCACAACATGCCGTCCGCGTCCGTCAATGCGCATCACGCAGCCTCCGCCGGCCCGTATCTGCCCCAGTACCCTCCTCTCTCTTCCATCCCCCCTCCCCCACCACACTCCCCTTTACCCCCCCCTTCGTCCCCCCTTACCCCTCTTACACCTCTCTCCCCTCACCCCCCCCAGCACCCAGGGCAGCCTCAGCAGGGGCCGCAGGTGACGGGGGCTGGAGCGACAGGTACAGGGGGCAGCTCCAAATCCAAGCCTATCAACCGGATAAGTACCGTGGTGTGAACAGGATGTGGAGCTCCAGGGTTCACAGGACGGACGATAGATTGGAGGAGGTGGGCAGAACACGGTCCCGAACCAAGTCTGCCAGGACAGAGAGCAACAGCAGCAGCGCTAGTGACAAGAGGAAACGCAGTTTGCTCCGTCTCTGTTACTTTCACCTCCGTTTCCCGCATATGTAGGTGGAGATTAAGCACGGCTAGAGTTACATGGCTCGTGCACACATCCTTGAAACCTGCACCAACAGAAACACATACAACATGACATTAACACACAAACACACACCACAAATTTGCATACACAATCAAAAAAGTCTATAGCCATATAATTTAAGATGAAACTAAATCTATATATAGGTATATTGCCTCAGTTTTAATTGTTTGAAGTCTAGTTGAGTCTGTATGAGACTATTTACATGTACAGTACCAAGATGTGATAATGTGACACTGGAAAAACGGAGACCATATGTGTCCACCTGCTTACATGGGAATGTAAATAAAGACTGAACCACCAAATGCATTCCAGCGGAGTTTGGCATTAAAAACAGCGGAAAGTTGCAAAAAAAATGTCCCTTGACTTTGCAATAATTTTACTTGGCTTCATGATGTCTCTGTCTGTTCTTGCAGGTTACGCTTTGCTGACAGGCATCTTTTTTTCTAAAGAGAACCTCAGATATGTTGCTTTGTCTTAAACTTCTAAAACCCATGCACGGTTTTTCTGACAGTCTTTTGCTTAATAGTCTTTTCCATGTTAACAGGAGTCACCGGGCTTTATAATGCATTCCTCGTGGGGTATGGGAATCAATGATACAAATAATAATATTTTTTGAATGTTTCTGAAGCTTCTCGCTGTTTTATCGATATTATAATATACCTGCTATGAGTATGATGAATATTGTCCAATAATTGTTTTGATCAGTGATTAATTATATCAGCAGATGTTTGTACATGGTTATAGAGAGTATATGCACATACAAATTCCCTTAGTTTGCCATAACCACTAGAGGGTATTCTGATATGTGAAGTGTGATTTATTTTCATAGTACCATGGTTTCCATTCAGTTCATCTTTTAGTTATTAGTATTATTGACTGTCGAACATAATGAATGAGGTTTAGTTTCGTTCAAATTGATTTGAACGCTGATAACACTCCTCCTTTTCTGTTTTGTTTGTTGCGAGCAAACGGGGGCACAAGTTCTTAAATGGGGTGACGAACAAAACTTGAATTTATAGAATGAATCTGTTATCGTTTCATTTCTTATTAGTCTCCCCGTTTTGATAAAAGGCTTAAATATGGTTGTGGAAATTTGGAAAATCATAATTCTGGAGGGCAGCTGTGCCCACTTCCTTGCAGTCACCAGATTTAGTCATTGTGTGTTTTTCTATGTTTTGAAAGAAGCACGCTTTTACATGAGGTTTTGTGGTTTTGCACACGTGATGTCTTAAGTCAGAAATGGCCTTCTTCTAATCCTCCCTCTCCTGCCACTTTCAGAAATCTCTTATTACATCTTATGATGCCTTGGCATCTTGCTGAGGGCTTCTTGTTTGAGAACATAACAAGAGTCAAGAATGTAAAATAGCCTACAGGTACATACTGTATTTCCTGTTCTTTTCTTTTTTTTCTTTTCTTTTTTTTTCTGTGAGCCTTGTGTTAGAGTTATCCCTTTTGCTACTGCGGTTTTTTGAAGTTACAATTGAGCACTGATGTAGTTGACCTTCAGTGCCATCGATTACCAAGGGAAAACTACATATATTCTGATTCAGGAGAACGGGAATGGGTGAGGACAAAATGTCATGTCTGCGAAACAAGCTGCTGAAAAAGATGCCAAAATTCGAGAAGATCTGAATCATCAAAAAGGGATTTTAAGGAGGTTTGGAGAAAGTCAGGAATGTTAAATGAAGATTTTATAAGTATGCGTTGGCTATCCTTTTCTTTTCATGGTGTCGTTTTTGACTATTCTTGCATGAATATATCTGCACTTATTGAATAGATTGTACTGTATAAACCTGAATGTACATAATATACTATACATAGGCTTCTTATCATAACTATGGGATGAACTCCTCCCATTCTGTATTCAGGTGCGTGCATGTGAGTGCCACTAAGTATGTACATATGAAACAAGGACAGGGATAGGAGATGTTGGCCAAAAGAAATATTGACTTCTTTTTTCTTTTCTTATTATTTCAGACTGAAGGTGAGAGAATGAGATACCATGATATAAGTTAAAGCCTAAAAAAAGAGTTTATATGTCAGTGCACTTATTGATATTATTTTAAACAAATGATTTCAGATTTTTCTTTGTGTATGTATTATGTGTACTGAAAGAATAGAGAATTGAGATGTGAATATTTATTGCTTCTGATAAATTAAAGTGTCCTTGCAGTGAAGTGACCTGTGTGTGTGTTCAGTTTCCACATGACATTAAAGTGCGCTTTCACCACTAAACTGCACAACACAAGGAACATTTATTATTGCTACCATGCAAAGACAAATAAAGATCATGAAATAAGAGTCGGAGATGACATTTTTGAATTTAGAAGGGACCTTGACAGTAACTTTAACCTTGAGTATGAATGGCATTATGGTAATTTTACATGATTTTATTACTTTTCATCATGCACAAAAAAGAGAAAAAGAGAAAACACTTTGCTTACCACAGGCTATAATTATCCACGTAGCCCATCTTGCAGTTTTGTGGAAACGCCTGCTGTTTCGCTTATAAATAATTCATCAATAATGATATCACAATCTGTATTTGCAGGTTATTTTTCAAAACTCAAGTGACAGTGCTTCACATGGGGTAGCAATGGGAAGCAAAATATATTGTACTCATTATAGAAATCAGTTTAAGATTCTGTTGATTATCTTTAAATCGCTACGTGCTCTGGCTCTGCTCCACATCTCAGAACTATTAACCTCTTATTCTGCAGCTCGACTCAGATCACAACAGAGAATCAGCTGCTGTAATAAGTTCCACAGTCCAGTGGTAAGACAAAGGGGTATCATGCTTTTATTGTTTAAGCACCGACGCTCTGGAACTCACTGTCAGAACAGTTCAATTTTTAATAAAATTAGAAATCCACCTGCACATATTGACATTTGCATAATTCATAATGTCCGTTCTAATTTTGTGCTCTTAAATTTCTTTGTAAAGCACCTTATAACTCTAGCTTTAAAAGATGCAGATTATTATCAATATTATTATTACTATTTTTTAATGTGTATTTTTCAGGCTAGAATTTTCTTTTTACTGCTACTTTATACTTCATCAAGAATTACTGTATGTGTATTTGAACTTAAACCTGCCAGCACCTGAGTCCAGAAAACCTGTAACCATCCATCCATCATCTATACACCGCTTAATCCTCACTAGGGTTGTGGGGGGCTGGAGTCTATCCCAGCTGACTTAGGGTGAAGGCAGGAGACACCCTGGACAGGTCACCAGTCTATCACAGGGCTACACTTAGGGACAGACAACCAAGCACACTCACATTCACATCTATGGACAATTTAGAATCACCAACAACCAAACTATGAAATTTCAACAACTGCATAACGAATCTGATTCTAGAGCAGTCTTCTGCTGACACATTAATAATTAAAGAAAAAGACAATAATCGAACATCACAGAAGGAGGACAAGAAGTTTTGTCTTTTAATCAAAGGCTCCTTCTCCAGTTACACTTTAGGAAAAAAAAATGTTTTCAATGATTTCTGGTCCTAATATTTCAGTATTTTATGTTTATGTAATTTCAGTTTAATTTAATCTCACAAGTTATCATCTTTTTTGGTGTTTTGCTTTGTTTTGTTTGTTTGTTTGTTTTTCTTAGTGGATGAGTATTGTTAAAATGGGACACCTGGTAAATTGCGACCATTAAGCCTGGCAATATCTTTTTGAAGTATCTTTTTAAAGAACACATAATAATACTAATACAACCCAAAACCAATGCTTACGCATGACTGAAAAGGATTTGATAAATGATAAAGTTCACATGGGTATGAAGTCATAAACGTGGCTGTAACATCACATATAGTGAAACTTGTTCTCAGAGTCAAAGTGGTAATTAAAATGACATTAGTCTTCTGATATTAAAATTGGTAAGCTTGTAAATCTTTATAAAAACGTTTTTTTTTTTTATTCAAATTTTGTTAGTGTACCATTTTGCCCGTTGTGCATTGTCAGGCGTGACACACTAATGCACTGCTCTTAGTCATTTCAATAGAAAACAAGATTTTGATTGGTCACAAAATACATGTGTTGAAAGAAATCAGTTTCCTTAATCGGATCAAACATAATTTGTCCAAAGTATGTCGTTAAGTCACTTATGTTGGATTGCCACACCAAGAAAAGCTCCAGCTTTCTGTGGCTATTTTACTTCTTCTCATGGCCTGTGTAAAATAATGTAAATAAATTACGATTTTTCTTAAGTTAAAGAGTTAGTAAGTATATGTGGTGGTCGTGGTCAAAATAGATTTAAAAGCCTTGTTTGAATTTTCAGAACATATTTTAATGCGTCATCAATTTTGATTAATTAATTAATCTTGTTTTTTGTCTTGTGCATATTGCAGTCACTAAGTTAATATTTATTGAGTTGTATCAATTTGGAGCTGAGGTTTTAAAATTATTCTGTAAATTGTTCCAGAATACAACCAGAATACAAATTTTTACCATTTAACCAATAGTCACAATGTTTTATATTATTACATTTTGACAAATTGATTTTATAAGTCTTTATCTGTCTTGCTTTTTGTTTTGCCGTATAGAATACACAGGAATTCTGTTATTTCAAAATGTGGTTTATACATAAACTTGATTTGATTTGACGTAGTTGGACAATTAACTACAATTAAAATGGCAGACTAAAACACTTGGTTTCATAATTCACTCGTACTTACGGTATGCTCACATTGCGGTGTTGCTACTAAAACTTGGGTACTGCTGTAAATAACGCCGCCCTCCTTCCTCCAGAACCGGTCCCGTGGTGAAGACCTGCCTTTTTGTTT